ACCAGGGTTAGCTCTGCAAAGAATCCTGCACCAATCGCTATGCTGTCTGCCCTGCAGACTGTCCCCCAGTAGAAGGGGATATCGATCCTACCAGCATCATCCCTTGAACATTCCTGCAAACACTTGCATTGGAAACCTCCCCTTTTATACTAGCCCTTCTACAATAATCCGCTTGTAACTTTTCAACTTGTCACCAGGTTTATAAAACTTTAAAGCTAGTGCTATAACAAACTGAAACAATGTTATTGCAGATGTAGGAGAGCATCTTGGGATGAATAAATTATAGGAGCCACAAAGAAATCACAATGACAACAACGGCTGGATGCTTCAAGCTGCCTACATTGTGGAGATACACAGGAGGGAGCTGGTTTTAGGACTGCACAGAACATAGGGCAGGAAAAATGAAGCGTTATGATGGGTAACTGTCTCTTATTTTAAATGGGTATGAAGCTTTTGGTTATTTTTCTTCCTTATTCAAATACTTCATTAATGCTTGAGGGGAGCTTGAACTGGCTGGTACAACAAAAATATGACCCCAGTGATTGCCTAGAGAGAGAAGGCTACAGCTGGAAGCACCAGCCTCTCCTCCCACCACCCAGCAATTACGGTCTATCCTAAGCAGGTCAGTCCACAGCTGTCCTCCGAACGGACACGTGGGAGTGGGAGGGAGGTTTCCAGCTCCTTCTGAGGCAGTCACTGCTCCATGCTGTTAGAGACGGATCCACCGAAGCAGGTCAGCTGAAGCAGACCATTAATCTGTTAGTGACTTTGGGCAGCATTCAGGTCGTGTACCGTAATGACATAGAAATGTCTGTGTGCTCCTTTGACTGCAGAGTGACTCGAGGTCCACGCTGTCCCTGCTCCTCATCCTCGGGAGCCAGGATGTACTACTAGATTTGTAAGTGTCTGGGATACCGTAGTGAGAGGTGTGAATGCAGCACTGTCCAGACAGCACCAAATAACCGACAAGTTTCTATAAATAGCAGCACACTGTTTCATGCTTACAACAATTCAACCATCTGTAGCAAAATGACATTTGCCAGATAATTTGTTCAGCCCATTTCCTTAAAGGACAATTAATAGATACGATGCTTCCATTCCCTGCAGATCGCAGTGCCTACAGAACATCGTGATGATTCCTTTCACCCTACCTTTAAATCCTCAACTTGCAAATTAGTGTGGGACTCCAGACTCCTTTCCTCTTCACAGATCAGCACTTTCCAGAGAGTCTGTGGAACATGCCTTCCCCAATACCTATTTGGCCTGGCCCATGCCGTCCTTTCCCAGACATTTCAATTGATGTCACTGATCTTGGCTTGGAAAATAATCCTTCTAATCACTGACAAGAACAGAGGCTGCAGCTCAGCACTGCTTACTAAGGCTAAGATGAGCACACAGTAATAAAGCATTATTCTAGCGAGTGAGCCTTAAAATACAGCTGACTGCATACAGGCTGCAAGAAGGTGCCATTTTGGGTTTTTTTTGTCCACTGAGAGAACATTATGGTGTTCATTACGATGCACCTAGAAACTCCCTGCACTATAGCACAACTCCATTATCTGCTCTGTATCATGTCACGGAATCTAGGCATGGTCCTCAAGGAGATGGAGAAGCATCACCTTTGTAGATAAAGGCATCAGAGTCCATCAAGCTTGGACAGGCAATTGCATCCCAATCTGTGTATGTGGAGACTTCCAGCAGAGATACATAACTGCATTGCCTTTGCTCCGTCAGAAAACCCTGCAGCCTCCAGGATTAAATGTCACCACATCATCATTTTGGGAATACAGTTCCCATGGGAGCGCCGGCAACGTGTGCTCTTTAGAGCACAGGTGGAGCTACGTTGCTCCACAGCACTGTATCCATCTGGAAAGCTATGGAAAACAACTTTTTGAATGATGCAACAGCCAATCACTGGCAGCACTTGTTCCCCTTCCATGGGTGCCAGCAGCAGCTCCGGGGTCCCAGGGACAGACATGGCAGAGATGGGGCTCTCCTCAGCCTGCCCAGCCTCAGCAACAGGCCCATTGTTCCAGAAAGAATGTCTAGGGATTAATTAATTATCCGGCAAGGGGCAGTAAGTAATAACACTCTTTGTGTAACAATAGAAGCTATTTGGTTGCCACGACAACCCTGTACCACTTCTGTGCCTTTAATTTATTCATTGCACAGTCCCTTCCCCAATCACACAGGATGCCAAAAAAAATTGCCTTGTTTTTCTTGCCAGGATCTGTGTCCAAAGTAGGATTAAGATGCAGCCCTTTCTCTGGGGTACCTGTCACCCAGAAGAAAGAAGCACATAAAATCCCTTAATCCTGGAAACCTGAATCACACAAGAACTCTGTCCCACTCCTTAAACATCTCTTTTTGAAGATGATTCTGATTTTTAAAGCCTTTGGAAGCTGCCTCCCCATGACACTTGCAGATCCTGAGTGGGTTCTCATGTGTATCTTTCCTCTCAAACACACACAGGAAGTACAAGCAGGAGATTATGCTTGACAAGTCAGAACAGGGGCTAGAAGGGATAATCAAAGCACAGGATGACATGACTGGTGCCCAGTGTAGTCATGACCTGTGCCACAACTGTCACAAACGCTCTGTGAGCCCATCGATGGCTCTGTCCCCAAATTCTGTAAGACGCAGAGTCGCATGTGGATGAGGGTCCAGGCCAGGGTGCTGGGAAGCCACATTCCTGCACACCCCACAGAGATATGAACGTTGCTCTTTCTATCCAGCACTAAACACACACATTCCCTCAGAGATCCTGTGGGGGAAGAAAATGAGTGTCACTGGGAAGGAGAGAGCATTGCCTTCACATGACGAGGTTTGAAAAGTGTTGCTAAGGGAATGGCTCTGCCAGTACTACTTGACTAGTAAACAACATGCCTGATAACTGCTTGTAAGAGGTGTATGACAAAGCACTTGAATATCCCTTACAGGCAACACGTTTCCAGCCAGAGATTCATCCTGTACCTGACTCTGCATCACGCAGTCCTCTCCTTACATCTATGGAGGAAGCTCAGGGCAGTTATAACAACTGAGGTAAATATCTCACTCCCTCCTGCCTCATTTATGTAAGTTTGGGTCTTGCTCCGAGGCTATAGGCCTGACAATGAGTTGTCCATGCTGGCTCTAGCAAAGGTGGTGACAAATAACTCATCACAAAGGGGAGTTCAGGTCCAAGTGAAAACGGAGAGAGGAAATGATTAAGACTTGAGTTTTGTCCTGAAAGGCAAGATGGATGTAACTGGGTTAAGCCATCTGGCTCTTCTACACTGAGCCTAAACTCAAGCACAGCTACTCAGTGCAATAGGTACAAAGATCTGTACCAAGGTCTGAATTTCCATATGTGCATGCTGTCCAGTGTCAATGTCATTACAGCCTGAGGTGTAACATGCCATACAGGTAATTATGATAGTGGGAGGACAATAAGGGAGAGTCTGTGCACGTAGCAATCTATTTCATAGCTCAGACCAAGAAGAAATAGCAATTATTTGGCAGAGGTTTAATCTGTAGGTCAGCAACGCTTATGATAAGTAATGCTCCAGGCCTTGGTTTGACCCCTTCTTCCTCCAAGCCTCTTGCATGAGAATATTGAAAACAAATGGTTTGCAAATGGTTGCAAATGAGAACCTGGAAACTCACAAGCTTGACTGTACCAACAGGCACATTCAGACATTTCAAGCAATTTAGAACCAAAGCAAATAGTCAGATGATTGTTTCCCCTCCTCCCTGTTACAGCAGCCAAAGAACTGGTGGGCCAGGGAAGCAGGGCAGGAGAGTCCAGAAACAGATAAATAGGACGGGAGCATTGGGAGATCAAAGTTTTAATTGACTTGATCAGCAAGAGCTCTAAGTCGGCCTAGGACTCTTCTACCTCGGTCAAGTAGAGAAGAACAGGGCAGATGCTGCTGAGCGTGACCCCTGCCAGCTTTCCACAGCACTCAGCTGTTTGGAAGGCAGAGACCCTTTTTACAGTACAAATATCCAAATACCTAGTTTAGCTTGCCAGCTACATTTTCACCGGCAAGCCTGTAGAATCTCCAATTGCTTTTCAAGTTGGCAGTCATGAGCTGATAGTAAAGTCACCATTGCCCTCTTTTTTTCCCCACTGGAAACAATCAGCAAGTACCTACTGCTTCAAGCATAAACATTAATGACCAGAAAAGATGTCCATGCAACCAGGACAGAAAGGTTAGGGAATCTCTGCTCCAGATAAGGAGCAGCTGGCCCCAGAGCTGCCACTCGAGATCCTCCATCCACACATTCACAGCTAACATCAAACATACCTAAGTGAGCTAGTACAGATGCATTTACTAACCCTACCTCATTTACCTCATGTCAGCAAGCTAGTGCTAGTCTTCCAGGCTGTTCTTTGATACTGTAGATACACACCTACTCCTGGTGGTAACATGTGAGAGGTCTCTCATGTCTGCCTTGTGTTGCAAGGGTTTAATTTCAGCATTGTTTCACTTTGGAGATGGACTGAGGCTATGGAGCCAACAGGAATTCAGCACCAATAACACAGGTTAGAAGGTCAGATATAGCAAGGCTCAGACTGAAACCAGTACAATGAGAAAAAAAAAAATGGAGAGAAACTCATTTATTACAGTCCGGAGAAGTGTTTAACTTTTTTTTTTTTTTTTTTTTTGGTCACGCTATACAAGAAGAAATTATATTTGAATTCCTTATACTTTACTGAGGAAGAATCCTATCTTTTGAATCAGAGTTCCCATCATCTCGTAAAAATTCTAACCATCTCCGAAGAAGACCAAAAAAAGATCTTTATTCTTTATTGGGCAAGTGCCTCTACTTCCAGCAATTGCAGGAAAGATCTGCAAAAGTAGCCTTATGAAAAAAGTGTCAGCACCCTTCTCTTCTGAAGTACAATCTCAGATCTCAGTTGACTCCAAGGAGCCACTGTCTTGGATTTGTATCTCAAATGGAGAACGAAAGAACAGTTTGCTATTTTTTTATTTATATATTTTTAAACTACTCACCATATTGACTTCTGAGATCTGGTCAATGCTGGAGATATGGATGCTCATTCCCACTGTGACAGGGTTACCTGAAACACAAAAGGAGCAGATTAGGACCACATTCAAGCTCTCTTCCCTTATCTTGTATTACACTATTCACCAGAAGTGCACAGATATGATTTGAAACAGCCTCACATTCCTCAAGCCTCAAGGATTTTCAAGACATGTGCTCAAATGATCAGAGAGGAGTAGATTTCTCTAACTCCCAGTCTTACAAATTCACTCCTAGGGTAGTGCAGCCTAAGCCTGAGTCTCTAATTTCTGTAAGTTAATTACCCCCTCGTTATACAATTATCTCTTGTTATGCCAAATAATGTTTTCAGAGATATCACGAGGCTCCCCGTGAGCTTGCACAAGGTGTTGCTGTTTGACCATACAAAGAACAGAGCAATAACAATCATGCAATAAATGGGCAGGAAAAAGAATCCACTCCCCTCTCCTTCACCTTCCTCATTCCTCTGCAGCACTCAGCTTGAAAGCTCAAGAGAGTTTTAATATCCAAGGTACCAGATGAGCACAGGGGTCAGACCATTTTTATAGTGGCTTTTCAAACTCGGACTGCACTTGAAATACAGACCAGATCCCCCACTTCATTATTGGCATCGGGGTGCACATCCCCACTCTGCCCTCCCACACATCCTCTTCCCAGGAGCCAGTGAGCCATGGTACATATCCACGCCCTCGTTTTCTGCGGAAATCAGGTTTTCCCTTACCAGTGATCAAACCACCCTCATTCCACAGCAAGTGCCTCACTACCACATGTAAGATGTATTTGCGAAGAAGCATGACGGTGAAAGGCAGTTGCAGGTTGACCAGTTGCCTTCTCTTGAGCAAGTGCAAAGAGATGTATTATTGTTTCCCATAGCCAGGGCAGAAGGAGGATACTTCACTCCCTCCTTTCGTATGTGCAACATCTCCAGCTAGATCCAGACACATACCCAATTCTGTTTAAGCCCTTCTGACTAACAGCTTCCATAGCCAGGCAGCTGGACAGCCCTTTCAGTGCAATTTAAGCTGTTCAAAACTTTCTGCACTCAGTATGAAAACCAGCAAAGGGCTGTTTCCAAGTGCATCCCCTTGCCCATTAGCATCCCAGTTCCAAAGCCAAAGCAGAGACCTATCCTACTGCAATCAAAGCCCCTCTTTCCACACACGCCAAGCGGAAAACAATTCCTTGAGATACAGTATTAGAAAGGGAATGGCAAGCTTTTATGCCACTCAAGGTATTAACTCTTCCATGGACTCGTTAGTCCTGTGCTGAAATATTTGCAGATAATCATGAAATGGCTTAGAAAGTAATTAGGAGACTGGGTGAAAGGGGAGAACCACATAACTGGAAATGAAGTGATTTTTAAATTATGTGTTACCAGAAGTGGGGAAGTAGTGTCATTAGGGCTTCCTTGTGATTGGGTGCACAGTTAACCAAGACCCTCTGCTGCAAATCAAGCAGCATTATCCTTTAATGGAATATGGGCAACACTGAAAACATCAGAATCAACAACTGTAATTAGACCCCGCAATGCAAATCTTCTTAAAGAGACCTTGCTCCTCTCCAGCCCTGAGAGCTTACTGTCAGGCCTGCAGGAGATGGGCACTCCCAAGCAATCTAGCAGAGCCTTCAAAAAGCCCTGTGCACAGAGCATACTCCTAGCCACATCTCTGCCGTATTCACCTCGGCATGGCAGCCAGGTATGGAAACAACCAAAACTCACTCCCAGAGAAGGAAGAGCCGATTCTCCCTTTATTCTGCCAGAGGCTGAGAGGGACACAAATAAACCTTTAAGAAATTTCGTTTTTGAGAGATTATCTTTTTTTTTTTTTTTTTTTTTCCCTCCAGAGAGCAGGTCCTTGTTGTGATAGGAGCCACAAAAGAGAGAAATAGCTCCTGCCCTGATGAATTTACAGGCTAATTGGTCATGTGAAGAAAGACAGTGCCACATAACAGGGTTGCAATGGAGTGGGGAAGAAGCCAGCTCTCCCAGCTCTTGGGTTTTGCTGCCATGCAATTTTGCTACCTTGAAGAGTTGCCCTCCTGCCTGCTTTATTCCCAGTCTGTCACCACTGGTAGTTTTGGTACTGTGGTCATGAGCTCACTCCTTCCTCAGTGAAGAAAGAAGTGTTTCTTCCCCACTACTGTATGGGACCCACTGGCCTGGAGTGGGTGGCTATAGTAGGGGAGCACTGACAAATACTATGCAAGTATTTGTCAAATGCAGAGTCTACTCAATCTAATCTATCTGTCTGGACATTTGTGCAGTGTTCATCACCATGGTATCCGAGTGCCTGAGGTCATGCAGTGACTCAGTGTCAAAGCCGTGGATAAGATCCAGAGATCCAGCTCCCAGCTCCAAGATGAACGACGGAGCTGAGAGCAGCACAGTGCTGCTCTTGTGAGCCTGGGCTCAGCTCAGCCCAGCTAATACTCACTTAGCAATGCTTCCTGCTTATCCACACAAGGCACTGTCCAGACCTCCACTCCCCATCCATCATGGGCAGCAGGAGACTCCACTTTTCCCACAGGCAGAAGCTTGTGATCTTCATACAAACACCAAAAATGCAGGTATGTGAAGCCCTGCCTTTACTGGATCTGCTCGCAGTTGGATCGCAGGGAAGACATTTCACCTTCTCTGTTCCTGTTGCGAAGGCTGCCTTGCAGTCTGCTCAGGATAGGGATGCATGTGCAAGGCCAGCAGGGGAAAAAAAAAAAAAAAAACAACGCATGTCCTAGCTCCTACCACAGCCCAAAGAGAAATTAGACCAGCTGGTGTCCAACATTCAGGCTTTAAGTAGTACACAAAACAAACAAAGGACATTGAATCTGCCAATGATAATAGCTTCAGGGAAGAGGGATACAAAAAGTAGGGTAGTTAAAACACAAGAAAACGTCATCTGAATTTGGCCAAAAGGCAGAGCTCTGCATTTGTAGATTTGAGAAGAGGCAAAAGAAGTAAGCCTCATATTAAAGGTCTACGCTTTTATCTGTGGCTGACCAATGTGTGCATAAACTGAATCTGTTACCCCCACCACCAGCCCATTAAAGAAAAAGCTTATGCCTGGAAAAGATTTGTAGACAAGTTCACAAATCTTCTTCCAATAGCCAATTCCTGTTTCTACTTTTTATTTTGTCATGATTTAAAATCCCAGAGTCATGTTATGCCAGGAGAAGTTATTCTTACTTCAGTGTTGCAGTTTGCCTGTGCTACGGCCAGAGCTGATGGCAGCATGGGTCAGTACCTCCGTTCTAGATTTCATGCTGGTAGCTCAGCTGCAGAGTGCGGCAGAGATAACAGCACAAAACGTGTGTGTGAGTAGGCCTCTTGAGACATTAGATGCTTACTTGGGCAACTGCCTTTCATGAAGGGATGTGATGCTTCCAATTCTACCCAAGAAAGCCAGACCACAGTGAGCCTGGGTTTCTTTCCCATCAGATTTCTAACTGCAACACAAATGCAGCCCAAAAGATTCAAAAATAGTGAGCAGATAAATAAAAATAATATATATATTTTAGTGGAGGATAACGCAATGCAAGCTCTATGAGCCACAGTCAATATTTTGAGGTGTCTCATGCTTTCTGACCATGCAAATTTGGCAACACCAGCTGGGCCAATACTTGCAGTCACTAAGGGAAAGGCATGAGTCTCCAGCCTACCTGTCAGCCCAAACTGCAGGAACAGAGGGCTAAGAACAGATCTCAGGAGGCTGTACAAATCAAATTCTTCATGGAAGATCCAGGTAAGCTCAGAGCCTCTTTAATGATGTTTTTTTAAAGACATCATAGCAGAAATTCCATATCTCCCCTGTAGGCTCTCTTCCTGCATTTCACTGCACTTGAAAAAGCTTTTCCTAAGTATTCAAACTAAGCCTTCTCTATGCTGTAAATGTAGTTCATTTCATCTCATCATTCCCCCCAACGACTACAAAAGAACAAATCAATCATCCTTTGACAACAGCTTTTATGTACTGAGAAACCATGACATCCCCTTCCCCGCATCGCCACCACCAGTACTGTCTTCTCTAGATTAAATGCACCTGATTTCTTCAACCTTCTTCTCAGAGGTCATGTTTTCCTAAACCTCTGACAATTAACGTTGTTTTTCTCTGGCATCTTGCCAATTTGTCTATATCTCTCTCAAAGTATGGTATCCAGAAACCAAGCAGTGAAGCAAAGATGACATGTCAGCAGTGCAGAGAAGAGGAAAAAAACTCCAATCTGCAGCATTCTCTTAAAAAACACTTTTGGCAAATTCATGACAAGAAGTCTTCTCAGACTCACTGCACCCACCCTGGGAGCTATTCCTTTTGTGCAGGAAGTCAGAGATGTCAATGGAGCAGTTTGCCTGATTTGGGAGCCCAGGCCAGCTCCTAGCCTTGCAGAGAGCAGTGAACATGCAGGAAGAAGGAATACGGCACCTTCTCTTCTGGCCAAGAGTGGACATTTTTTTAACTGAGCTGTACACATGAACTCCAGCGTCCTCTGCCTGGACCCTGTCTATGGGACTAGCCAAAGTGGTTCTGGTCCCTGCATCTTTGGACTCCAACAGGTTTCAGAGACCCCTGCAGCAGCATTAAAGCTGCTTCAGTGTCTTCTGCTGACTAAGTAAAGCCAGCCAGGAAAAAAAAGGAGAGTTTTCAGCCACTAAGCCTTCATATAGAATAACTGTGCTTTACCCTAAAATGGCATGCATCCACAGCCATAGACTCTGATCGTGTTAAACCTTATCCTCAGACCTCCAGAAGCAGGACAGTAGTGGCACTAGAGTCCAGGAACAGCAAGGCCTAGACCTGCCTGCTTGGCAAAGCTATTCTGCAAAAACAGGATGATAGAGGCAGACACAAGGTGGGTAACCTTAGCTGATATACATGACTATGGGATTGAAGCGCCTTTTCTTTGTCACCTGCATTTCCAAGGACCCTCACTCGCATCAGAATCCGCAGTTAGTTCATTCTGAGCCTTGCCAAAGGAGAGACCAGCATACAGATCAACCTCACTTCCAGGACGTTTTCCTTTAGGGTTCTTATCCCTGCTTTG